AGTTATATTTTTTCCTACAATTTGAAGATCATGAGTACCACTTTTTAACAAACTTTGTTAACTTGGCCTCATACCAAGGAATAGGGCAGTGTAATAGAATTCAAATCAACTACACGTCATCTAACATAAAAGTGCTAGAAGTGTTAGGTTGGATGTGCTTGGAGAAATGAACCAATAAGGAAATATTGCAAAGAATTAAATTTGACAACTTTTAGTTAAAAAAATGATGGTGATGATTTTCCTAGCAAGGTTTGTTTGGAATTTTAAAAATAAACGTTCAATGTTTTTGTTTAACCCTCCCATTATCGTTGCATGGAGCTTAACATCTATTGATTTTGATTCATTATCAAACTTAAAGCTAGCATCTAAGTGAGCATAAGTTAGATGTAAATAATTTTACCATACATGAATGATTAATAATTCAAACCCAAGTTAAAAGCCCAGTTAATTTGAATCGGGCCTATTTACAATGCTGCGCTCTGAAAATAATCATTCACAGCATTTCTTACTAAAAATTCAGCATATCTCATGTCCTTGGCCACTAAGTTCATAGAATGCGGAGAATGAAGTCATTAGTCATCCCTTGTCTTGGACGGGCAAAGTGGTTTCTGAAAATGAAGACAAACATTAGGATTAGCTCCTATATAATAAGAAGATCGCAATCAATGATGAAAATCAGCATTGGTTTTCTAAGCCTTTTATCATAATACTATTGTTGCAAGACAGTAATAAGTATATTAGAGGCAAATGAGGCGACTAACTTAAGCCTTTTGATGGTGTGTTTTGATTTTATAGCAACTAAACTAAAACAATTAGTTCAATAAAAAATTTGTTTCGATCCAAGTTAAACATTCAACTTATACAACCTATATTTTTATGATGCATTGTACAACCAATATTTTACTGACTGTACTTGTTCATTCTTTTAATACGCTGTTTTTGAAGATGAAGGTAGACATTAGGATTAGCTCCTATATAAGAAGAAGATCGTAATCAATGATGGAAACCAGCATTGGTTTTCTAAGCCTTTTATCATAATACTATTGTTGCAAGACAGTAGTAAGTATATTAGAGGCAAATGAGTCGACTAACTTAAGCCTTTTGATGGTGTATGTTTCGATTTTAAAGCAACTAAACTAAATCAATTGGTTCAGTAAAAAATTTATTTCGAGCCAAGTTAAATATTCAACTTGTACAACCTATATTTTTATGATGGCATTGTACAACCAATATTTTATTGACTGTACTTGTTCATTCAATGCACTGTTTAGTTTCAATTTTGGGAGAATTGTATTCATGGCCTAAAAGAAAAATGTATTTGTAGATAGGGCCAAGTGATTTTGATATGTTTTTGCATGCTCGAAGGCAGGGGTGTTCAGAAGATGGCCCATCCTGAAAAATTATTAGGACTAAATTTTTATCCCATGTCTCATTTCATTTTAAAAGTCGTCCTGTCCTATTAGAAATCGATGTGAGACCGAGATAAGATTAGAATGTCCTGCCGTCCCGATAAAGCAAATAATGTGGAAGAAAAGCCTAAATAATAACATCCATTAGTTAAAATTTTAAATCACATTACTTATTTAAGTTTAAAATCAAAATAATATGAGTATATAAATCACAACAATTATTAAATTACATCCATCACAACTACAAAATGTTCAACTTAAAATCAAGTATACGTTAGACATAACACATCATGATAACAATTACAGGTGATCTCTAAGCTATAATAGCAACAACATCAGACAAGCCTAGCACAACGTCAAGTTATTATTATTATTATTTTTAGTTGAAATATGTAAGCTAGTGACTCCTCCTAAAATAAACCAAGAAATATGATATAAATAAAAATTATTAAATATATAAATATAAATTATATTAATATAATTAATATATTGTAAATAAATATATTAACATGTGTTGCTTACTCTATATCATTAAAAATTTTAATATAAAAAAATTTTAATTTTAAATAAGAATAGCAAGTATTGAAATTATAATTAATATAAGTACAACTTATTTAATATAATTAATATATTAGTGTATATTTTTTAAAAAAAAATTTGTGCGCGCGCGTGTGGGGGTGCGCGCGCGCGTGTGGGTGCACATGTGGGTGCGCGCATGTGTGTGCGTGTGTAATATTTAGGATGGGATGTGTGTGTGTGTGTGATATTTAGGATGGGACGTATGTGTCTCTATATAATATTTAGGATGGGACCCATATCCCATCCTGTTTTAAACCTCTTCCCCCATCCCATCTCGCAAAATTTCATCCCAATTATTTTAAGGTTGGGATGAAATTGGCCTAATCAAAATAGGTACAAGTTAAACATCCCTACTCATGGCTTCATTTACAAGTATTTTAATGGTTGAAATGACTCAATTATCCTTCATATTCTTCTCATTTTTGTTTCTTCTTTGCTGCCAACGTCATCTCTCACCTCCTGCCATGTCTTCCTTTGTCAGCAAATACCAAGTTATCATTTCTCTCTTCTTTCGACCCTCTTTCCTTGCCTTTGGACTTTGATTATATTCCTCTTCTAGCTTTTCTTCCCTTGCATATTTTGTTTCTTCACCCTGGCTCTGCGATCGACCTATCCTTACCCTACTGGTGTGGCTTTTAAGCTCTTCTTCTCTACTCCTTCTCACGTCTTCTCAAACGGACAATAAAACAAGTGATCTTTCTTACTCTGTCGGTCTTATTTTCTTTGCAATTGTCCTCTCATCTGTGCTTCGATCATCAACTATAACAGTACGTGATCTATTCATCTTGATCTGCATCCTTGATCTAGATCTATGTTTCACAACTTTTCCCAATGAAGAAGTAAAACCTTGTATACCCTATCGTGTGTTTTCCTTTGACGGGATTTTCGTATTTCATTGCCCGTAGAAGCTTATTGCCGTCTTAAACAATAATGGACAACAACTTTGGCATCACTATAAATCCTATTCAAATTGGCACGTGATAAAAGAGCACAACAAAATGAGACAATCATTCTAAAGTCCTTAACAACTTATTTGACTTGATTTTTTTTATTACAAAATTATGTTTCTAGCACCAATAAAATAAAAAAAAATATAATCATTAATATGTGAAATCTAATTGTTGATTTAGTTATGTGATGACAAGCACCCTTCCTACCTTAATGCTTTTGGCTTAGTGATTAATAACTTTAATTTAAGTATTACACATATAGCCATAACTTCAGCTTACTAATGCAATAATGATCATGCTTCTTGTGTTAATGGCTTTACTTTTGTTATTAAAAACTCCATCTTAGATTTTAACAACTACATTTTCTAATACTTTATGGAGGATCATAAACATAATCTTGCAAAAAATTATGTTAGATAAGGTTTCATGGATTTTGCAATAATTACTCTATTCATGATACTCTTTTGTTATATACCTTGTTTGAGGATATTAATAGGATGTGCAATGTGCCTCTAGAGCATCTACTGACCTACATACGCGAAGGCCTTCCCCTTCCCCTCGGATGTCTACAAAAGGAATTGACAATTAATCTGATGCTTTCCATCGAAGGCATGCTAATTGCTCTCGAAAGCTAGATTCTGAAAAAGCATTTTGTTTTAGTTTGGCTCATAATTTTATATGAAATAGCAAAATTTTTTAATCTTATAAAATTTTTTTTAAACTTTGAATTGAAGTAAAACAGTTTTTTTGTGTAACTTATGTATTCATATTTTAATTAGAACTTCCTAGATGTCATTACTTTAACCTTATGTCTAACATGGAAGATATTATCATGTACTCAACTTTAAAGCACATCTAATTTTACTTATAAAATAGAGATAGAATACTTGTTTCGATTTTATTTATAATATCTTAACAATTATTGTATTTATTTTTATTTTTTTATTAAATTATGGGAAAGTTATTAAATCTTGAAGTATTATACTTTTAAAATATGTATATCTAATAAAGATAAAGTTAAAAATTTATTTTTATGACAAAAAGTTGAAAACATGTTAGAATTTTTTGATAAAGGTTAATAAGGTTTAAGTTTTTTCCTTAATTATGATATTATAAAAATAATTTATAAATAACAACATACTGAAAACTGAATCAATTTAAGGCATTTGTTTAAGGAATAATGATTAAGACTGTAATGAATCATGATTAAACTAATCTTAAATAAAATATTTTATTAAACTGACAATGATTCCATGGTTTAACGGTTTAAAATGATGGGTTAACTTAAATTTTCAAATCATAATAAATAGGAGGGGGAGTACCTATTTCAATAGAATTCATTTATTACATTCTCCTCTTTCAATTTGGATCGAGGCACTCCGGAGAAATTATAATAAAAAACTTTAAAAACCCACTTTTATATTTAAAGGTTAGGCTGCTTCCGAGACTTTTTTATAATTAACAAGCTCACAAAAATCTGGAATGTATTAACAACTAACCTGATAGTTTATTTTGTCTATAATTAACGAGTAGTTGCCTGGTTTCTTACTTTTTGATGCTCTTTCTTTCTTACGGATATTTAATTATTATTACTCGTATACTCCTAATTATTAAGCTCATAAAAATAATTATAATTATTAAGTATTATAGTCACTAAATTATGATGGGAGACTGATAGAGAGATTCAAGGGGACTAATTAATTTAACATAGGTTTCAAACACTAAACTTTAATAATTTTTAATTTTGACTTTTAATTTTATAATTTTATTGTGATAAATTTATAATTTATTTTTTAAATTTTAATATGATTGAAGAATAGATAAATTTATTTTTTTCTATTAAAATATAAAATATAAAATATAAAATATAAATTTATCACAATAAAATTATAAAATTAAAAATTTAATTTATAAATTTTTAAAATTTGATATTTAAAATTTAAATTAAATTAATTAATTTATTTAAGATTTATGTATCATTCTTTCAATTATGATTAAAAAAAAAATAGAATAAATGGCCGTTTCACTGAGGTTACGGCCGAGAAACAACTGGGGTGCGCGGGATATATTTTTACCCGGACAAGCGGAGGGTTTTGCATTTAGGGTTTAAGAGCGCAGCTTCCCATCATCCCAACGCTGTTCCACTTTCTCAGCCAGCGGTCTGTTAATATGTGGGCTCTTCGTCGAGCTTCGATTCCTCTTAGGTAAGTCTCTGTAGTACCTGTTTCTCCCGGAAATGGAGAAAAATGCCGGTATAAGCCCAGTTCCATTCTCTGTGTTCCGTTTAAAGCAAAGCCAGTAGTTTTTCATTTTTCCAGCGACCATCGAGAAAGCTGGGCCAAACTTGCTGCGCCCTCCCATATAACTGTTGACACGCTTCCGTGTTCATGTTTTCTTCGCCCGTCACGATCACGGTTATGATAGATGCATTCCGTATCTTCTCATACGAGTGGGCTAATGGAAAACACTCACTGTGTATTGATAATTAATCTAGCAAGGGATTTGGAAATTTTTATGCTCATCCCCCTCACTTGTGGTGCCATACCCTTCGCATTTTTGCCTTTTGATATTGATAGTATTGCACGGCTTTTTCACATCGAGTACCTCGACATTGTTTATCTCTAAGTATCTCCTTTTCTCAATGTTGTAATTCGTGCAGAAAGAATCCAGAGAGACTATTTTTTACATTTTATGCTTCATATTTGGTTTGCTTTCATATCTTAATCAGTTTATGAAGGTAGTTTGTTTCGATGTTTGTAGGAGCCGATGGCTCAAGCCGGGAACATCTCGTGCTTGTCTCAAATTAACACCAACTGCTTGTGTAGAAGATGAGGGTGGTATCTCCGAGTGTTGTCCTATATTATTTGATAGATCTCCATCATTGAACACTGTTCACTACCACTCAGGATACGCTTCACCGAAATTTAAGGCTAGCAGACGTGAACTCTCTTCACAAGCTGATGTGAGAAGCACAAAGGAGGATGATTTGGAAGATGGATTTTCTGAACTGGGAACAACTATAGGAGAAAATAATGATGAAATAGTTTCTAACAAATCAGATCTATCTGGTGATGATGAGAATGCTGAGGAACCAGAAAACGAGCTGGACCTATCTGATACTGAGACTGAACCAACTGAGAAAACATCACCAAAGCGAAGGAGGGCTAAATCAGAAATGCTCAAGGCAATCTTAGATGCCCCAGGTGTGACTATCCGTTCTACCATGGACAAGTGGGTTGAAGAAGGGAAAGAAGTAAGTAAGTCAGAGATCTCATTGGTCATGCTTATGCTTCGCAGGCACAGATTGTATGGGAAGGCTTTGCAGGTAAATGGATCAGAATTTAGTTTGAATAAAATTTCAAATGACTTAATTAATTTTTAATCTATTGCCTTTACGTTGTGGCTGCTTGATGTCATTTTAGTAATTTGAAACTATGCTTATTTTGATTTAACACCCCTTCTCTGGAACTGACACTCTAGCAAAGCAATGCTATGTTGATTTTATTATTTGGACTTGATGTCATAGTAGTTGGGGCTCCAAGGGGATTAGGGACAGGCACTCGTGACATATCTATCAGGCACAGATGCTGATGAGTGAGAATAATTCATCTATTGTTTTAAGAGTTATTAATAGAAGAAATCTTAGGCATTCATCCAAATATTGATATTTTGGGATGAAGTGGCCCTTGACTTCGTATTAGAGCTTCTATGACCAAGTGGATAGAAGTTAGATCCTTCCTACGTCCATTGTTAATTACTAGAAATCTGTTCCAATATGTTGAACTGGTCAGTCCGGTTTTTTTGAACACTGGATATAACAAGTTATACCTATTATTGTTCTGGAAAGGCATTGTGTGCATGTAGAAGGGCTACGGATATTCAATTATGTTGCTGATTTACTGTAGACTCTATTGACCTTTTTTGAGCTTCCTGAGTTCCTGTTTTACAAGTTGATGTTCTGTACTTTTGCGGCATAACTTAATCTATATTAATATATCGTTGGTTCTGTAGCTTTCAGAGTGGCTTGAGGAGAAAAACATCTGGGAATTTGCTGAGAGAGATTATGCATCTCGACTTGATTTTATTGCTAAATTGCATGGCCTTCAGAAGGCAGAGAACTACATAGAAAGCATCCCAGAATCTTTTAGAGGGGAGCTTGTGTACCGAACTTTACTGGCTAACTGTGTTAGTCAGACCAATGTGAGAAAAGCAGAGCAAGTATTCAATAAAATGAAGGATTTAGAGTTTCCTCTTTCAGCATTTGCTTGCAACCAATTGCTGCTCCTTTATCAGAAGGTTGACAAGAAGAAAATTGCTGATGTGTTATTGTTAATGGAAAGAGAGAATATTAAACCTTCTCCTTTCACTTATCAAATCTTAATATCTGCAAAAGGCCGGGCTAATGATATAGCTGGAATGGATCAAATTGTTGAGACAATGAAGGCTGAGGGCATTGAACCAGACATCCAAACAAAGGCAATCTTGGCTCAGCATTATGCCTCATCTGGGCTCAAAGAAAAAGCTGAAGAAGTTTTGAGAGATATGGAAGGGGAAAACTTGACTGAAAATCAGTGGGTATGCCGGTTTTTGCTTCCCCTCTATGCAGGCCTGGGAAAGACTGATGAAGTTGGGAGGATTTGGGAAGTCTGTGCATCAAATCCTCGGGTTGATGAGTGTCTGGCTGCAATTGAAGCTTGGGGAAGGTTAAAGAAAGTTGAAGAAGCAGAGAAAGTTTTTGAGATGATGGTGAATAAATGGAAGAAACTTAATTCCAGGGACTATACAGTACTCCTGAAGGTTTATGCCAATAACAAGATGCTGAAGAAGGGTAAGGATCTTATTAGGCAAATGGCAGATAGTGGGTGCCGAATAGGCCCATTGACATGGGATTCAATTGTGAAACTTTATGTGCAAGCAGGGGAGGTGGAGAAGGCAGACTCTGTTTTGCAGAAGGCAGTGCAGCAGAACCGTATGAAGCCAATGTTCACTACCTATTTGCTTATTTTAAATCAATATGCCCAGAGGGGTGACATCCATAATTCAGAAAAGATTTTCCATAGAATGAGACAATCTGGTTATGCCTCTCGTTTGAGCCTTTACCAAACTCTAATCCAGGCCTATATAAATGGCAAGCAGCCAGCGTATGGGATGAGGGAGAGGCTGAAAGCTGATGACGTATTCCCAAATAGGAATTTGGCAGGTCTGTTGACTCAAGTTGATGCGTTTAGGAAAACGGCAGTTTCCGATTTGCTTGATTGAGGAAATAAATTAATCTTTCCAATATGATAGTTAGTTCCCCCCCCTCCCCCCAAAAAAAAAAAAAAAATTCCTGTGCGCGCAGCTATCATTAGAGAAGTAGTTGGTTAAGCATCTTCGATTTGAATGTTTATCCTACAAATTAATTGCCGTCGAATGTTGAAGAAGACTTGTCTTTATTTTATGTCATGTATTGTTGTTACATAGCGATAGATATTGTTCTTATCACTTGTATGGGTTGTTACCAGCACAACACGTGTGGGAAGGAAGTTTTTTCAAAATTGGGTGCTGAAGCTGGCATTTTCCCCGTCTTTGGGGGCAAAATATTGGATGTAAGATTCCAATGCTAACCGCAAGCAATGCTTTGCACTGAATGTAAAATAATATCCACACTGATAAATTTAGACTGTATTTGCACAGGCACAGCAGGGTAGGTGGAGTAATTTCTATTCAAGGTAGCCGATCATGATCCTTTGTATGATAATGAATCATTAGATTGAATTTCACGGAAAGTAGATTGCTGCTCTGGTTTCTGTCGAATCTAATTTGTTAATATAGGATATCAGATACTGTGAAAAATACTCTCGACTGTTTTTTGTTTTTCTTTTCCGTAACAAGTTCTTGATCTTATTTGAATGACTGGCATTTGTATGATTCACAGTTTGTTGCATAACTTGCTATTGTCAGATATTTTCAAGTCAAAGGTGATGAAGTATGAACAACAAACTTATCACATATTGTTCAAAATGTTGAGTTTTGTATTCTGATACTTCTTCCCTTGTTTCATTTTTTCTTCTTCTAGGCTTGGGACTTCTATTAAAAATTCATTGGCATATAAAAAAGAAAAAAGAAAAAGACAAATGAAATTATCGGCAGGCGAATCATGGATTTTTTTTATTTAAATCACTATTGTTAGTGCTCTGGAATCTCCGGCCTCCCCCTCCCCCCTCCTTGTCATCCATTTCTATTGATTACGTTGATTATGTCAAAACTTAGCCCAAAAAAAAAAAGGAAGCTCGATTATTCTAAAACCAAATCAGCAATCATGGTTGTTGACAAATGCGCCAACTGGGCGCAGAATATTTTGATATAAAATATCCCACATTATTTCAGTCAATCTTCATCCTACTTGGTTGTTTGGGGAATGAAAAGAGAACTGTAATTATAAAACTATTTCTTTTTTAGACATGATATCTGTTTTTCGTATTAATTTATCAATCATTTTAATAGAAAGACAATGATTATTGCTTTTATTTCAAGTTCATTTACTTTTCACTGTGATACTTGGTTTTCTTAATGTTGTTTAACAGACTTAATTATCTTATGCTAAACATAGCATTAACATCCAATCGCATAGCAAAAAACGCAGAATGAGAGATTCATATGCACAAGATTCAAATGCATAAGAAATGAAAGAGAAGAACTTTTCTTCCCCATATAATCTTTGATTTACTGACTACAATGAACAGACGTAGCCTAAATTACAAACGCTATCCCATTTCTTTTCTACTCCTAAGTCCTACCTATCTGCCGCTTATTTACACACAACATATTTGAGAATATTTTCAATGTTAAGGTGAATGAACCAAATTAGAACACAAAGTGTAGCAAACGGGTAGTACATCAAGAGATAGACTACGTTAAAGGTGAAGACTATATCAGATCCATCATCTAAGGTCACGTTTGGTTACTAAAAAGAAATGAAATGGAATGAATTGAAAAAATAAAAAAAAATGAGATGATAAAAAAGAATAATGAACCACATTCATAAAGGAAAGGGATAATTTAATTCATAGAGTTGGGAATTATGATTTATGAAATTTTTAAAAGGTGTGATGATTCTCACATTGATAATATATATTAATGAGTTTTATCATATTCACAATGAGAAAGAAGGATGATTTAGTTCATTTTTGTGTTAATTTTTTAAATTCATTCCATTTCATTCGTTTCTAGTAACCAAACATGACCTAAAGCTTCTAGAGGAACTCGTTTTGATGCCCAAGAGTCAATGCTCGTGTTGACCAAACAATGAGTCTTTAGTTGTCAAGTTTTGGAGACAACTCCAAAAATGGGGCATCTAGATGCTTCATTTTCGTGGTCAGGCAAGCCACGATGAACTCAGGGCTCATAACCAAGAGAAATACGCACCTATTGCCACAACAGCTCGAGCCGATTGCTGGGTGGTTAATATTAACATCATTTATTGTAATGTCTCCTGTTGCAAATATCAGCCTAGCATAACAGGGAAAACAAGAGCATGGATAAATATTCTGACTACTATTTTCCTAAAATAAAACTAAATCTATATAATACATAGAATCTATAGCAAGTTGTACCAATCATAGATGCATAAATAGTGTGGTTTATTTCTAGGTAGAATTGTTGGGCTCAACCCACAGAAAGGTGCAAGTCAAGTTAGCAAAAAATGCAAATTATTTAAATATGGGCTTATTTTGGCCTGCATCACACAACCCAAACCTATAGCAGGCTAATACACAGGTTGGCAAGTTGGCTTGCATAACTTTTTTTTCATTTTAATATTCCTTGAGAAGCAAACACTATAACTAATAAACTCATATGTTAGGTATTGAGGATTAGTAGATTGGGGATTTTAGTATTTACTTGATCCCAATCACATCATATCATGCATGCGCTACAAGTGGTTAAGAATCTATTACTTTATGAGGTAGTTTAATTATATTTCTTTCTATTCTATATAAAAAGATTCTTCTTTTATGATTTAATATTTTATAAAATTACTATTATAATGTCTATTAAAATATATACTTAAATTTAAACTGTTAAAGTTTGATCTGTTTAATTTGATTAAAACTATAAACTATTATTAAAATATTTTATAAAATGATTTTATTTTTTTTTTCAATTTTTCATTATAGTTTTAAATTATTCAGATACAATTTTAAAACTTTAAATTTATTTATATATTTTAATATAAACTTATAGTAAAAATTTTATAAAATATTAAATTAGAGAGCCATTGAAAATTTGATTTAAAGATAATAAAAGAAAAGAAAAAAAATTTTATTTATGTATTATTTGTTCAGTGATTATAAAAATGTGAGATCATCATCTTTAGCTATTGATAGTAGTATTGGAAGAGAAAGAGCATCAATTTCTAATGTGTCTATGTCATTGTCATTATCGTCATCATTTCAAGCTTTGGATTGCAATTTAAACTTTTTATTATGTTTGTTTGTAATGGAGTAGATATTTATTTTGGATTGTATTAATGTATCTTAAATTTGTATTGTGTTTTTTAATGATTTAGAAGGAGTTTTATTATTATTTGAATAATTAGTTTTTGGGGGGGATATGATTTTTTCACCATCTAAAAATAATGAAAAAAGATGAATTTGTAATTTTTAAAATTGGAAAAAGTATATATATATATATATATATAAAATATTTTACTAGCAAGCAACGGGTTGGCAAAAATACAACCTATCAGGATACAAGTTATGCCAGCTTGCACTACCAAACTAAATTACTTGGCGAAGAAACCCCTCAAGAGTACCAAGTTTTCCTATGGCCTTAGCCATTTAGCCCATATAATTTTCCATGTTGCAGATGAACCTGACGTGGGTGAATTATTAGCAAGTGTCCCAGTCAGCCATTACTGCAATGCATCCATTCCTTAAGATAGAGCATCTTCAGCATGTTGGGAAGACTGCTGCAAGTTATAGATGCCCATCATTTATTGCTCTGTTAAGGGCTCCAATTGGCTTACAAGAAGCTGTACCAGACTTGCATTCAATTTGTAGTCAGACAACATATTATGGAAGGATAGCCACTTTAGAACAATAAACATAAAAACTATTATCAACTAGTGAAGCTGTTAAACATGCATAGTTCTAGCATGCAATAGGTGTTGTGTACACCAGGCACCAGCATCTTTATGCACCATAAGGAATAAGCAATTGATTAGGCATTTTCAGCTTTAGGTCCCACCATATAGTGTTAGCCAAACCATACAATTTTGTTAATTACCACGCTTCTATTTACAACATAATGCCTAGAAGAAAAAAGATGAGAATAATGCATCCATGAAAGATATTATCACCACACTTTAATTTACTACACCATAAACCCCAGATAAAGCATGTGAGAATATAGCATCTATGAAGAAAATATTCTTACCTTGAGAAGCTTAGAAGAGCAAAAGCCTCTAATCCACATGAAACACCTCTCTGCTGGAGTCTTTCACAATCTTGACATGATGTAGAAAACATCAACTTTTGCTGCAACACCTTTAGCCTGAAAATCTCATTAATAGGAGTCATGACGTTGTCGACAATAGCATGCAGCTTAATATCTCCAGTATGAGAATTGATTGCAGCCCTTAGTTCATTGATATGTTTATTATGCTTTTCTAACCATCATACATACTCTACATCAAATGCCATGGCACCTACATAGCATATCAATTAACCTAATTGTCTATAATTTAAGATCTGAATAACAAAAGAGCAATTAACTTCCACTTGCCTTTATCATGATCTCCAAGTGCAATCAAATAGCATACGTGTACTTCTTTAAGTGCATACTATGCAATCTAATTTAAGAACATTGAATCCAATAAGATATGTTCAATCCAAGTATGGTAAGTTCCATATCCTCTAATGTGAAAGCTTTGGTTTGTTTCATGAAAAACATGCCATGGAATTACTTTATGCAACACTCTCCATAGGGGGTTACAGAAAGGAACATATAGCTAAAACTCTAATCCCTTGGGGAAATAACCAAAGCTAAATTCAAGCACATTATATGGTTAAGGAACATTCCTTTTAAATAAGTATCAATAGGAGGGACCTCTATAGCCTGGTTTAGAGCCTAATTTAATTATAAAATATTAATAAAACATGATAGATAGCCAGGCTTGTTTGGAAATTCAAATTAAAAAAGCAATAGTAGTATCAGATTTACTTATAGTTAATGTAAACACATGATTGCTCTGTAGCCTATTCTTAATTAGATCATGTCAGGCTAAGTATTAACTTTTATACTGGAAATAATTATAATTCTATTTAACATCCCATAATATTGTTCTACCTGGAGGGGCTTCAATGATAATCTTATCAAGTTTTAAGGTTCACAGTCAATACCATTTACACTCAATGAATGGGATTGGTCTCCTATACTAGAAATGAAAATTCCATACAACAAAATTAAAAACCTAATAAAAAATGTGGCTTCAGAGGAAAAGTGTTGAGCAGGGAAAATAACAAAGGATAACTAAACTTGACAGTGGGCTTGCCAGAGCTCCTACTCAAGTTAGGTCAATTTCAGCCCGCTGCTTTCTAATTGTTGTACATATGCTTGAATAAATTGAGAGGAATGAATGATGAGGAGGAAAAGAAGAATACATAAGCAATATAGTCAAATATGACAACTTACTATCTACTCATTTTGATGATGCTTCATTTAGCAACTGGATAATGATTCTATTACATTTGTAACAAAAAGAACAACATTATTAGAATAGTTGCAATTGATATAAAAAA